TTGCCAGGACTCAAGAAACTGAATTATAGGGAGAGGTTGGACAAGCTAGGACTTTTTTCTTTAGAACGTAGGAGACTAAGGGGGGATCTTATAGAAGTGTATAAGATCATGAGAGGCACGGATAGGGTGAATGCACTCAGTCTTCTTCCCAGGGTTAGGGAATCGAAGACTAGAGGCCATCAGTTTAAGTTAAAAGGGGAAAGAATACATAGGAACCTGCAGGGTAACTTTTTTACACTGTGGGTAGTACGCATATGCAATAAGCTGCCAGTGGAAATGGTTGAGGTGGGTGTATTAACAACATTTAAAAGGCATTTGAATGAATACATGGATAGGAAAGGTTTAGAAGGATGTGGACCTAGTGCAGGAAAATGAGGTTAGCATGGATGGACATTTTCGTCGGCATGGACCAGTTTGGGCTGAAGGGCCTGTCTCCGTGCTGTAGGGCTCTATGACACTCTCCACTCACTGTCTTTGAGTCCAATGACCTGAAACTCAACCTGGAATTAGAGATTTTGATCCTGACAAGAGCCCCCAGTTTGTTATGGACCAGACCAAACCCAACCCTTTGCAAATATATTAAGGAGATAGAGTCGAGGCTAACTTTTATCTTATTTAAAGGCAAACATAAGGTGCTGTGTTCCAGGCGTAATTCAATTGGTCACACTAATCAACTTTAAGGAAGACACTTTATTTTTACTTCTAACTAAGAGACAAATGAAAGAAAGGAGAATTTGTACAACTTTATTGGAAAACAACAAAATAACAGATTATTTAACTATTAAAAAACAACGGCTCCAATATAGTAACATTGCATAAACATACCCTTGGCAAAGGCAAATTCAGTAAATGCAGGATGAAAGAACATTGAGAAAGTTCTGGCAGAGAGAGAACTGAATCTGTTTCCTGTAGAAGGGAGATGTATGGAAGCTTCAAAACCCCAACAACTACTGAAAGATAAACTAAAATTCTGGTTCTGTAGGAGCCTGACTCCACCCATTCAGCCTGTTTTTATTGTTCCGACTTTAGGGAAAAAACCCAAGGTCTTGCAATTTGTTCACTTTATTGGCTTGGACTAGACAGCTCTCCACCAACTGCTCAAAACCTCTGTTCAAAAAAAACACCTGGAGAAAATATACCTCTTAAGGCCATAGTATGGTCACACCTCTCACTCTTCTAAAATCCAATGAGTAGAATCCCAACCTATTTAAACTTTGCTCAGACAATCCCTCCATATCAGAGATCATCCAAGTGAACCTTCTCTGAACTGTCTTCAACTAAATATCTTTTCTTAAATAAGAGGACCAACACTGTTCTCAGTACTCCAGATGTGGTTTTACCAACATCTTGTCCAGCTGCAGCAAGTCTTCCACAGTCTTACACTCCAGCCCACTTGAAATAACAGCCAATATTCCATTAGCGTTCCTGATTACCTGCTGCAACTGTACACTAGCTGTCTATGTTTCGTGCACAAGTACCCCCAAGTCCCTTTATGCTGCAGCTTTCTGTACTTTTTCTCCATTTCAATAATACCCTAATTTTGTTCTCCCTTCTAAAATAAACTTCCCATTTTTATAAATCCACTAAAACTCCAAATTCATTGTAAATCTCAAAAGATATTTGTATTAGATTTAAGCAGATTATAGTCATGGTGTTCAACACAGCAGCTTGTTATAATCCGCTTGTTCGACCCTATGTACAAAGCTGACATGTCAAACCTCGATTGTGACAGAATGAGGAGAATAACCTGTCATTTTTGCCAAAAAAATGACATAAATGTATAAGCCAGGAATAAGATGTAACCAATTTAACACAACAAAGCCTACCCTCTCCAGTAATCCAATCTTTCTTTAGGTTACTGAACCCTAAAAACAAAAATCACAAAAAACTGCAAATGCTGGGTATCAGAAACAAAAAAAAGAAATTGCTGGAGAAATTCAGTAGATGTGGCAGTACCTGTGGAGAGAAAACAGAGTCAATGTTTTGGGTCCAGTATGACTTCATCAGAACTGATAGTACTTTGAGGATGAGCGGGGCGAGAGCGAGAGCGAGATAGCAAGACAGTGAAGTAAGCTAAAGGTAGAGGTAAGACCTCAGGAGGGAGAGAAAGAAAATATCAAGTTCCAGAAGTTCTAGCTTGCGGGCACCAGTCACCTTCTCTTCACCATGGATATGCAATCCATTTATGCATCTATTCCACATCAGGATTACCTCAGGGTTCTCTACTTCTTCTGGTAAGAAGGCCTTAATTGTCCCTATCCTCCACCACGCTCATGTCTGGCCAATTCTGTCTTCACTTTGAACAACTTCTCCTTTAACTCCTCTCACATTTGTCAGATCAAAGGGGTGGCTATGGGTACCGACATGAGACACAGTTATGCATGTCTCTTCAAGGGGTACATGGAATATTCTTTGTTCCAGTCCTTCTCAGGGCCTGACCCACAACTCTTTCACTGTACATTGATGACATCATCGGTGCTGTTTCTCTCTCTTGTCCTGAATTGGAAATGCTTATCAATTTTGCTTCCAATTTCCTCCTTCACTTGTTCATTTCTGAATCCTCTCATCACTTCCTCAACATCTCTATTTCCATTCTGAGGATAGGTTGGCCATCAATATTCACTACAAACCCACTGACTGCCATAGTTACTTCCTCACACCCTGCTTCCTGTAAAGACTTCATTCTATTCTCCCAGCGCCGCCTCCTCTCTGTTCTGATGATTCCACCTTCTTGCCTCAGAAAAGTCCACCTTATTTCTCAATCCCATTCATAATGTCCCCATGGTTGACATAGCTCTAAGCCGCGTCTGACTCATTTCCCGCACTTCTACCCTTGCCCCTTCACCTCCCTCCCACAACACTGATAGGTCATCCCAGTCCCCCACTTCCAGCTTCCACATTGAAAGGATCATTAGCTATTTCTACCATTTCCAGTGGGATGCTATCACCAGACACTTATTCCCCTCCTCTCCCCTATCAGATCTCTACAAAGACCATTCACTCAGGGACCCTTTCTCTACTCCTCTTCCATTCCCAACACCTTTCCCACACTACCCTCCCATGCAAATGGAGAAGGTGTAACACTTGTCCATTTGCCTTCTCATTATCTAAGGCCCAGACACAGCTTTCAGGTGAAGCAATGACTTACCTGAACTTCACTCAACCTAGTCGACTGAATTCGCTGCCTACAACATGATCTCCTTACGTTGGGGAGACGAAATGCAGCCTAGGCAACCACTTTGCAGAACACCAACATTCTGTTCACAAAAATGACCCCAGGCTTCCAGTTGTCTGCCACTTCAACACATGTCCACTGGCCAACATGTGTGTCGTGGGCATGCTACAGTACTCCAGTGAGGCTCAGTGCAAGATGGAAGAATAATCTCATTTTCCATTTCAGGACTCTTATCATATAGAGTTCAATAATTTTAGGGCCTGAACAACTTCTTCAATGTCCTTTAACCACTCCTACACCCTTGGCCCTGACATGACAGGCTGCTTTCATCATAGCCAACCCATTTTCACCCAAGTCTATATAATCAACTTTTTCAACTTAGTCCATTTCGGACTAAGATGAGAAATTTCATCATTGAAGGTTGTAAGTCTTTGGAATGCTCAGTGCCAGAGACCTGTGGATATTTGAAACAAATATAGAGATTGCTGGAGAAACAGCAGGACTGACAGCATCTTTAAAGAGAAAACAGTTAACATTTTGAGTCAAGTGATGCTTTGTCAGTTTTGATGAAACATTAACTGTTTTCTCTTTTCAGATGCTCCAGACCTATTGCGTTTCTCCAGGCACTGTTTTTTTTCAGATTTCTAGTATTGCAGTTATTTGTGCAGATATTTGATTGTTGAGTATACGGAAGCGGAGAAAGATGCATTTTGGGCACTAATTAGCTCCAGGGACCTGGGATAGTGCCAGTAAGTGGAGTTAATGCAAAACTCCATCTATTACCCTCCAGAATGGCAAAGCAGCTACGACAGTCTAGTGAAAACAACAACTTGTACAGTACCTTTAATGCAGTGAGATGTCCCAAGGGTTTTCACAACTGTGAAAATAATAGATTAGATCATTGGCTCAGTGGCTAGCACGGCTGCCTCCCAGCGCCAGGGACCTGGGTTCGATTCCACCCTCAGGCAACGCACATTCTCCCGTGTCTGCGTGGGTTTCCTCCGGGTGCTCCGGTTTCCTCCCACAGTCCAAAGATGTGCAGGCTAGGTGGATTGGCCATGCTAAATTGCCTGTAGTGTTCAGAGATGTGTAGATTAGGTGGGTTTATAGGGGGATAGGTCTGGGTGGGATGCTCAGAGTTTTGGTGTGGACTAAGTTGGGCCAAAGGGCCTGTTTCCACACTGTAGGGATTCTATGATTTTCTATATGAATCTTGGTAAAATATGTTTTAAGGAGTGACTTGCAGGAGTCATTGTTTCAGGAAGGGAATTCCAGATGCACAGACGACAATTGTGTAATGACTAAAATCTGCTCACGAGGCCAGTATTGGAGAAGGGCAGACATCCCAGGACTTGTGGGATTTGAGAAAGTTAAATAGATAGGGAGGGTACAGGCGATGGAGGAATGTGAAAATAAGGAAGACAGTTTTCAAAACCAAGATGATTGCTTAAATGGGATCTAACACAGGTCACTGAGTGCAGAAGTGATGTGCAGTTGTTATATATATATATAGACATGAGGGCACAGTGTCAGAGACTGGACAGGAATGCATTGCAATAATCAAAATCAGAGGTAACACAGATGAAGTTTTAAGCAGACAAACAGGTTGAGTATTATTTAAGTTGACATGTATTCCTCATGAGATTTCTGCACATGACTTGCTCCAGATGGTACACAATGAACACCTGTACCCCAGGCCAGAGAGTTGCCATTATAAGAAAATAAGGAATTTAAAAAAGTCTGCATCCACTGAACTCCCTTTGAGTTAACTGGAAATCAAATGCAGGCAGCTCCCACAGCACAAAGAATATGGCCACTGCACAGATAGGATTTAGTGTACATTTTATTGGCAAAGCACCTTACACACGTTTCACTAGATTCAAAGACAGACATCAAGGCAAACAGAAATTTGTACTCAAAAACACTAATATTCCAGAAACTTTGAACATGCTGGCCCAAGCCATTCAGACCAATCATACTCAGAAGTAGAGCTTAGTTAATTGTCAAGTAGTAAAACCAATCAAATCAAACTGCAAAAAAATTATACATTAATTGTCAAACTTGCAAAAGAATTATTGCACTGCTGCATTTTCCTTCCAGTGTACTATGTCCAAGGACTTACCTTGATATTCAATCTCCTGCAATATAGCATTGTTAGCAGCCCACCTAGTGCAACTAGTACCACAACTCAAGTGGGACTGGAAGTCAGAGGGCGCTTACAATCTACATATCACGACGAGGCAGTTAGACTATTAAACATCATTAGTTGTCGCAGATACAAGACTTTAAGGAACCTTGACAGATTGTTAGAGTAGATACATTTTTCTGCCTAATGTGGCAGTATACATTGCAAGCAAACAAAACTGAAAAATATTCCAGAGAAACAAAAATGATTCTTATTTTAAAATGATTATTGTCTTCATCCAGAAATTGATGCCTTTCAGTTCCAGATATGGCGTTTGCAATGATCAACAGCCTGTTGGGAGAAATACAAATTATTAGAAATTACAAAGTCAGTGATCAAAGACAGTATACTGACTCTGAAATACTGTCACCTCAGTTTCTGAAGATACTAAATTTCATAACACAGGTCAACTGATATGACCACCCTACGGTGTTATGCCTAAATGACCTTTCCTTAGAGAGACAGCTGGTATGAAAATAGTTAGAGTGAAGTTTTTCTGAAGTCCTCATGGTTATCATTAACATTGATGTTGAAGAAAAATGCAGACGGGATGGAAATATCGAAACAGTAGGAGTATGGAGATGTCCAGGGAACGATGAAACAGCAAGTTGCTGACTGTTTGTAACAGAATGCCTAGGGAGGCAGGTTGACGTGATCACAGGTACTTACAAAAAGTTTAATACGTACTTGGCAGGAAAATCAATTTGAGTTTAAGCTATTAAGCTTCAGGACAAGCTAAGTGGTGGAAATGGCCCACATATACATGCTTCTACATTTCAAAAAAGGTGCAGTCATGTCAATAGGTTATTTAACAAATCATCAAATTTGAATCCAACATGCTCTCCTGCAACACCGACAAATACAACACCCTTGTAACATGACAGAGTCTGGGTGCAGAAACTATGACTGGTTTCTCTTTCTCACCTGGGCACAGGATATTGAACCTATTGTCCAAGAGAGATTAAAGAAGATGAAGAATCACAATCCTGGGCCTGAAGCGTCTTTGTTACCAGGCCTCAACCGCAGACAAACTACAACCACCCCTTGTTCCACACCAGGTAAAATTTTTGACAATCCAAAGTACAGAAAGCGTGGAATGCCCTGAATCATAGAACATTACAGGAGACCATTCTGGGTTTATTAGTTTGGCTAACAGGATCAACAAGGCTCGACCCATTGCACCGCTCTCAGCAGAAACCTTTAGTAAGAATCTTCAGCTAAAAATGCCAAGTCGATAATTCATCTACGTATCTGCTAACCTGTCCACCAATACGCCAGTCATAGACAAGAGCGCTGAAGAGGGGTCAGATAACAGTAATTGTCTTTTATATCAACATTTGACTGAGTGTGGCATCAATGAGTTTTAGCCTTAATATTATTTGAAAAAAAATATGCAGGGTTACAGGGAGAAAGGGTCTAAGAGAATTACTCATTTGGAGAGCCAGTACTGACTCAATGGGCCAAATGGCCTTCTCTGCTTAACAATTCTGTGAATTGAAGTGAACAGGAAAATTCTCCATTCGTTGAAATCATTACCTAGCACAAAGGTTCTCGGATACCAATCATCTGAGTCTCAGGGCATTATGATAGGAGTTGCCGTAACATCCCAGAAGAAACCACCAGACCTTCACCAGAAATTCGGCATGAGGACAATTGCTGATAATTACACAGCCTTCAGTACTATTCACATGCGCTATTTATTGCATGGTCAAAGTGCACAACTATCAGATGGTCACGAGGTTTAACGTCCTATCCAACAATACACTGCTCCTCCAAGAACAGCAAGTGCATTGTAGATTACTGAAGACAAATTTGAATTGTGCACAGAGGTGACAATCTTGCAAATATCCAAGGCTGACAGCTACACTATAGGTGATATACTCTATTGACAATGCATTGGGGACAAAGATGGCAAGTGTTGAAAGGGATGGATTTGGTGTAAATCAAGCAGGTTGCTTTGTCCTGGATGATGTCAGGCTTCACGAGTGTGGTTGGAATGATATTTATCCAGGCAAGTGGGAGCAAATTACTGCAGATGTTGGAATCTGTACTGAAAACAAAAAAATTCTGGAAATCACAGCAGGTCCAGCAGCATCCATGGAGAGACATTAAGCCAAGTGATCACCCAGTCTGTGGTTGATTTCTTCAATGTAGAGGAGACTAGGCAAGTGGACTACTCCATCATTCTCCTGACTTGTGCCTTGCAGATGGTGAACAGGCTTTGGGGAGTCAGGTGGTGAGTTACTTACTGCGGGATTCCTAGTCTCGGATCGGTTCTTGGAGCCACTGTATTTACATGGCTAGTCCTGTTCAGTTTCTTGTCAATGATAAACCCCAGGATGTCGATAGTGGGGAATTCAACAATGAGTGATGCCCTTGAATGTCCAAGGATGATGATTAGATTTTCTTTTGGAGATGGCAATATCTCAGAGTAAGGATTGTGGGGTTAGAGAAGATTACCAACACAGGGAGGGACAACGCCATGGAGGGATTTGAGAAAAGGGGATCAGAAATTTGAAATCAATACACAGCTTAATTGGGAGTTAAATGTAGGTAAACAAGCAGAAATGATAGGGAACAGGATTTTGTGCAAGTTAAGATCCAGACAGCAGAGTTTTATCTATCTAACACACATTTAACCTCTACCAAAGAAAATGACCTGCTGTGAGGTTTATCAGCTTAGTGGAAGCTGACAGAGCAAACTCAGTCATATCAAAGCCTCTAAGTTTCAGAAACGGTGAGCTGGGGCACACACAGAAACTATCTTGGAAGCATGATGGCACTGACCACCATGACTGGGAGCGAGCTTGCTGTGAGTTATTCAAAATGGTGATAGGTTGTCCATCTAGCTGCATCATGCTTCACATCTTTTACATTCCACGCAAAGGAGAAAACAAAAAGTAAGATGCACACTCCAGACCCCACTAGCTCATAGGATGCCCTGCCCCATTTGCTCCAAGAGCTGCAAGAAGAGGACGAGCCTGCTCAGTCACATGAAATCACATAGCAGGGCTCATATACCAAGTAGATGGCATCCATGAATTGAGGGACAATCAATGATTCTGGGCTGAGGTGGGGAGAAGGAGGCAAATAGAAAATACTAGAGAAGCTGAGCATGTTTGGCAGTATCGGTAAACAGAAAAGACCATAAGACACAGGAATAGAATTAGGCCACTTAGCTCAAGTCTGCTCCCACCATTCAATCGTGGTTGAAATGTTTCTCAACCCATTCTCCTGCCTTCTCCCATAACCCTTGAAACCCCCCACCCCACCCCACCCCACCATTCAAGAACCTATCCATCTTGTCTTAAATACACTCAATTACTTGGCCTCCACAGCACTCTGTGGCAATGAGTTCCCACAGATTAACCATCTTTTGGCTGAATAAATTCCTTTCCATCATAGTTCTAAAGGGTTTCTGTTCAATTCTGAGGCTGTGCCTGTGGGTCTTAATCTCTCCTACTGGTGGAAAGATCTTCTCCACGAGTACTCCATCCAGGCTTCTCAGTATTCTGTAAGTTTTAACAAGATTCCTCCTTCATCTTCCTAAATTCCATCGAGTACAGACCCAGAGTCCTCAACTGCTCCTCACGTGACAAACCCTTCATCCATCAAGTCATTCTCGTAAACCTGCTCTGGACCCTCTTCAACACCAGCACATCCTTCCTTAGGGGCCCAAAACTGCTCATAATATTCCAAATGCAATCTGACCAGAACCTTATACCTGCAGAACTCAGCTAGTCACTGGTTGCTATCCTGAAAAAGACCCCTTTACCTCCACTTGCTGCCTTCTGCCTGTCAACCAATCCTCGATAAACGTCAATACCTTGTCCCTAACAACATGAGCTCTTGCCTTACTTAGTAGTGTCCTTGTCAAAGGCATTCTGGATATCCAAACAAATCACATCCACTAGCTCTCCATTGTCTAATTTGCTCACTACCTTCTCAAAGATTTCTAACAGATTTGTCAGAAGTGAACTCCCGTTGACAAAGCCATGCTGATTCATTCCTATTTTACCACGCACTTCCAAGTACTCCGCAATCTCATCCTAAATAGTGGACCTCAAAATCTTACCCTTGTCTGAGGTCAGGCTAACTGGCCTATGGTTTTGTGTTCTCTGCCTTCCTCCCTTTTTAAACCAGGGTGTTACATGAGCCATTTCCAGTTCTCTGGTACCTTCCTGATTCGAGATTTCTGAAAGATCATAACCAACGCCTCCACAATCTACTCAGCTATCCCCTTTACACCCTTGAGAATAGTCCATTGGTCCGACTAATTTATCTACCTACGGACCTTTCTGCTTCCCCAGTACCTTCTCCTTAGTGATGGACACTATACTCACCTCTGTGCCCAGAGTCTTTAAGTCCCAGTATGCTACTGGTGTCAAAACTCACGCAAAGTACCTATTCAGTTCCTCCTTTGTTCCCCATTACTACTTCTCCAGCCTCATTTTCCAGCAGTCCAATGGTCACTCTTGCCTCTCTCTTACCTTTCAGATATCTAAAAAACCTCTTGCAATTTTCTTTTATATTACTAGCTAGCTTACTCCCCTATTTCACCTTCTCCTCCCTTATTGTATTTTTATTTGTCCTCTGCTGATTTTTAAAGGCTGCCCAATCATCCTCACCACAATATGTATTTTTCCTTTTATGCTGTCCATAACCTCCCTTGTCAGTAATGGTTGCCTCATCTTCCCCTTCGTATGTTTCTTCTTTCTTGGGATGATTTGCTGCTGTACCTCCCATTTTACCCCCAGAAACTCCTGCCATTGCTGCTCCACGGTCTTCCCTGCTAGGCTCCCCTTCCAATCAACTCTAGCCAGTATACCCCTCTGGTCTTTGTAGTTACCTTTACTCAATTGTATTCAATTGATTCAATTATCTCCTAATGAAGTCTGCCTCATTACATATCACGAAATCTAGAACTACCTGTTCCCTAGTGGGTTCTATCACAAGCTGTTCCAAAAAGCCATCTTGTCTACATTGCACAAATTCCTTTTCTTGAGATCTGCTACTAACCTGATTTTCTCAGTCCACCTGCATCTTGAAGTTCCCTGTGATTATTGTAATAGTGTCTTTCTTACTTGCCTTTTCCATCTCATTTACTTTCTTCCCTACATCCTGACTATTGCTGGAGGCCGGTACACAAGTAATCAGGGTCTTTTTTCCTTTGTGATTCCTCAACTCTACCCAGATTGTATGCCTTCCAACTCTTATCACTTTAGATCAATATCAACTATCAATTTAGTTTCATATCTTACGCAAAAGGCAGTCCACCCCTCTGCCCATCTTTTTGATGGAACATATTTCCTTGGATATTCAGTTCCCAGCCCTGATCCCTTGCAGCCATGTCTCTGTGATACCCACAACATTGTACCTGCCAACTTCAACCTGTGCTACAAGCTCATTTACCTTGTTTTGTATACTGTGTGCATTTAAGTACAGCACCCTCAGTCCTGTGTTGCCTGACCACATACTCATAATTGTCTCCTAATCTGTGCTATGCCTGAAGTTACATTCCCGACCCTTTCGATAATCTCTGTCCTATTACTTTTTCTGGAAATTTTAACCACTGCTGAGCCCACCACCGCACTAACTTTTTCCATAATTTTCCATGTAACTGAAGCCACTCCCATCCTGCCATGATTAGTTTAGAAAAGCAGAATTAACGTTTCATGTCTAGGGACCCTTTGTCACAATTGAAAATGGCTTGAAGGTGGTATTTTTGTTGATAAGGGCAGGGGCTAGGGAGCAGGTAAAGATAGAGTGCTTGGGGATGGTACTGAGAAAGAGAAAAAAGGGACAGACAAATGAAAAGATTGCTGATAAGCAGTAAGAGTAGGAATAAATGGATCTTTTTCTGAATGGCAGACAGCAACCAGTGGAATACTGCAGATCAGTACTAGGTTACCAGCTAACCACAATATATGTTAATAAGGGTTGAGCTATGGAGAGGATGCAGAGATGTTGCAGTGTGATTCGGACAGGTTGAGTGAGTAGGCAAATGCATGGCCGGTGCAGTATAATATCGATAAATTTGAGGTTATCCACTTTGATAACAAAAATAGGAAGGCAGATTATTATTTAAATGCCTGTAAAATGAGACAGGGAAGCATTTAATGAGACCTGGGTGCCCTTGTGCACCGATCACAGAAAGCAATCGTGCAGGTGCAGCAGGCAGTAAAGAAGGCAAATTGTATGCTGGCTGTACTCAAATCCTCTCACTGCGAAGGCCAGTATACAATTTGCCTTCTTTACTGCCTGCTGCACCTGCACGATTATTTTCTGTGACCAGACAGGTTAGATGCAGAAAGGATGTTCTCAATAGTGGGGAAGTCCAGAACCAGGGATCACAGTTTAAAAATAAGGAGAAGACCTTTTAGGACTGAGATGAGGAGAAATTTCTTTACCCAGAGTGGTGAGCCTGTGGATTTCACTACCACAGAAAGTGGCTGAAGCCAAAATATTATATGTTTTCAAGAAAGAGGTACATACAGGTCCTGAGGCTAAAGGAATTACTGAATATGGGAGGTGGGATTCGTTTATTTAGCTCGGTGATCAGCCATAGTCATAATGAATGGTGGGACAGGTTCATGCAGTTGAATGTTCCTATCTACCATCATTCTACATGAGACAAACGATGGCAGAGGAACACGGCAGTGTGTTGAAGCTGTAAGCTACAGGAAAACTGTTGTTTTTTCACAAACAGAACATAGGTGTTCAGTAAAGCAGTCATCCTGCCTGCATGTGGGCAGTGAATACAGCAGACTAAATGGTCAAGTACGGCCACCTGTGATTGCATGGGAACGTGCTGTGGGGTGTGAGGAGTGATGGAAGAGTGGGGGAGGGGAGGAGGAGGAGGAGGAGGGAATGCGTGTCTATGCCTGCAGATGTCACCAGTGGTGTAAATGTTGGCTAATGATCCTATGGATGCAGAGGCTGGTGGGGTGGAAAGTGAGGACCGGGTGAGTCTATTGGTATTGTGGAGGTGAGAGAAGGGTGAAGGGAGAAGTGAAAGGAATGGGTTGAACATAACGGAAAGCCCTGTCAACCATGCTGGCTAGGTTTATTTTTTGGAGCAGGGCAGGAAGGGATTGGGGTTGGAGTTGGGGGTGTGGGGGGAGCAGGGATAACGTTGGACATTTCCAAGGTGCCCCGCACGGCCCCACAAACAAAAAAAAAAAAAAAAAAGTGGAAAGTGGACATGTCTGAGCTCCCTGCCCCTTGTCATAAGCATAAGTACCATCCTTCCTCAGCCATTTTTCGGTCTGAAGGAGGGTCATTGGAATCGAAATGTTTATTTCTGCTTCTCTCTCTACATATGCTTTCAGACCTGTTGTATTTCCCCAGGACTCACTGTTTTGTGTTTCAGATTTACAACATCTGCAGTTTTTTGTAATTTTTTTGAAAAGAGTGCAACGCCCCCTCTATCATCAAGGAATGTTAAGGTCATCTGGGATGGCAACATCACTTGGCCTAATACACACAGTTGGAGCTCTTACTTGGCACGCTGTGCCCAAATACCACAGCACTTTTGCACTGCTGGTATGTTAGTTACTTACATTGCACTGAGTTGCAGTCTCCATGTTCTTACACCAGTACGATGGACCCCAAACACATTTATCAGCTCCCAGCAGATGTTGTTTTGCAGCTCCACAAAGCCCAGCTTTCTGTTGATGGAAATGCAAATTTATCAGGCACAAACTAACAGAACTGCAAGATCCAAGAAACTCTGAAAAGGTGGACCACAGTAAAGGTCAGTCGTCCATTTGAGAAGTCTTGCTTAATACTCCCAATCCTGTTGATTAAATTTCCAGTCATTAAAATTTCAAATACAACGGGGAGAAAAGTAGTATTCTCCTTTACCCGGTTAGGCAGGCACACTCCTCGCAAACCACTGGTTTCCCATGGTGCTGCTCACAGTAAACTACTGCTTCACTATATAAACAGAGAATGCTGGAAATACTCAGCAGGTCAGACAGAATCTGTCGAGAAAGAACAAGAGTTAATGTTCCAGATGCATGCTCTTTCATCAGAACATAACAGAAAAAAAAAGTTTTTAAAAGCCAGTAGAAGGATGGGGAGGAAGAGAAAGAACAAAAGGGGAGGTCTGTGGTAGAGTGGAAGACATTCAGACTCTATTTTGAAACTGGAAGGGTGATGATGAGGATATGAAAGCAGAGCTAGCTGAAGTGAATCAGTAAATTAGATTAAAGTATAGGTTCATAGAGATACAGCAGCAGGCAAAGAGGGGATTTCAGAACACAAAACAGGTATATCCCAGTAAGTAAAACAAAAATCCAAGGGACAAACACCATCTGTCATTAACTAGAAAGGTTAATGATAGCTTCAAACTTTCAATCATTTGTGGGACATGAAAACTGTAAAGAATGAAAAAAAAAGGAGAAAAAAATCAGAGCACAGAGGAAAATAGATAGTAAGAGTTCTTAAAAATATTTTAAAAAGATGAGTTAACCAAGTGAGCTTTGATATATAGTGAGACAGGTGAATTAGAAAATTGAAAATAGGGAGGTGGCAGATAAACTGAACTAACATTTTTCATCACTCTTCAGTATAGAGAATACAAACACCCCAGGATCAGAAGATCAGGAAATGTAAATGAGGATGGAACTCATAAGAAATTCAATAGCCACAGAAGTGGTACTGAGTAATCTGGAGTTGTAAACTGACAAGTACCCAGGTCCTGATGCTCTTAAAATAAGTAACTAATTAAATTGATACATTTGTTTGAATTTTCCAAATCTCTTGATTTGGGGAAGGTTCCATTACAAAGAAAGATAAGGAATGTTAACTTTCTTATTCAAAAAGAGAGTGATACACAGGCAGGAAACTACAAGCCAGTTGGTTTTACATCTATCATGGGGCATCATAAAATCCATAGTGTGGAAGCAGGCCATTCAGTCCATCGAGTTCACGTCGACCCTCTGAAGAACATCCCATCCAGACTCACCCTTCTACCCTATCCCTGTAACCCTGCATTTCCCACCTAGCCTGCACAGCCTTGGACATTATGGGCAATTTGGCATGGCCAATCTGCCTAACCTACACATAAGACCATAAGACATAGGAGCAGAAAATAGACCATTTGGCCCATTGAGTCTGCTCCGCCATTCAATCACGGCTGATAAGTTCCTCAACCCCATTCTCCCGCTTTCTCCCCGGGAGGAAACCAGAGCACCCGGAGGAAACTCAAGCAGACACGGGGAGAATGTACAAACTTCACAGTTACCAAAGGGTGGAATCAACCCTGGGCCCTTGGCCTATGAGGCAGCAGTGCTAACCACTGAGCCACTGGGAAAGTGTTAAGAGCTATTCAAGATTCTACAGCACAGCACTTAAATAGGTTCAAGGTAAACAAATAGTGTGATGTGGCTTTTTGAAAGGGAAATCATGTTTGACCAATCAATAGGAGTTCTTTGAGTTGGTAACCTGGGCTGTGAATGAAAATGAACCACTGGGTGTACTGCTATTGGATTTCCAGAAAGCATTTGATAAAGTGCAACATTAAAGGTTACAGCAGAAGATAATAGCTTATTGTGTAGGGAGTAACATATTGGCATGGTTAAAGATTGGCTGGCTAACAAGAAGCAGAGAGAAGGTATCGATTGGTCTTTTTCAAGTTAACTTAATGTGACACAAGTGATCTGCCACAGGGATCAACGCTGGGGTTTCAAATGTTTACATTTTGTTTAAATGACATGAAGGGATGGACATATGGTTCCCAAATTTGAATTAGAGTAGGGATCTAGCATATGCAGTATTATCATGGGAAAATGCTAAAAGGTCAATTTTGGCCAAGAAGAATAAGGCGGCTATTATCTAAATGATGTGAGATTGCAGAATTCCGGAGATGCAGAGGGATCTGGGTGTTCTAGTGCATGAATCACAAAAGGTTAGAATGTATGTACAGCAAACAATTAGGAAAACTAATATAATAGAGGGGATAATAATTGAGGGGGTGATAATCGAGGCTTTGGGGAGTCAGGAGATGAGTTACTCACTGCAGTATTCCTAGCCTCTCACAAACTTGTAGCCACGTATTTATATGGCAAGTCAACTGGAGTCTCCGGTCAATGGTAACCCCAGGATGTTGATATTAGGGATTCAGTGATGGTAACATCATTGAATTTTAAGGAGCGGTGTTTAGATTGTCTGATATTGGAGATGGTCATTGCTGGCACTTGTGTGGAGTGCTTGTTACTTGTCACTCATCAGTCCAAGCCTGGATACTGTCCAAGTTTTGTTGCATTTGAACATAAGACCATAAGGAATTGGAACATGAGTAGGATCATGCCTAATTCAACACACCTCATATCCACTTTGTGTTTTCCCTGCAATCCTGGATTCCCCTACTGATTGAGAGTCTACCTATCTCAGCCTTAAATATATCCAAGGACTCTGTCTCCACAGCTCTGTGACAAGGAGTTCCAAAGACACTCAACTCTCGGAAGAATTTCATCCTTATCTCAGTCTCAGAATAAGAGGAGGACCAGTTTAAGACTATGTCCTCTGGTACTAAACTCTCCCATGAAGGGAAACAGCTTCTCAGCATTTAGCCTGTTAAGCCCCTTAAGAATCCTATATGTTTTAATGAGATCACGACTCATTCTTCTAAACTCCAATGAGTAGAGCCCCAACCTATTTAGCTTTTGCTCATAAGATAATCCCACCATACCAGGGTCCAGGTACAGATTACTTCAATTGTAACTAATGGTGAACACTGTGCAGTCATCAGAGAACGTCTCCACTTCTGAACTGTCGATGGAGGGAATGCTTAGCCAACAATATCCACATCCCATTAATAAATTAAATAAACTACTCCAACACTGCAACTTTCATAGAGCAATCTTTTAGAAAGTTAAATAATACTCACTGTGCAAACAAAATCTGGGTCCAAACTTTCCAACAAAATATGCAGTAGGACCGATCCATACTCAGCTATTAGGTTGATACACTGAAACACAAAGCACTTGTTTCAGCAGTTAAGCAATGCAGGAAATTTCATGCATTAACAGCAGGAAACACATTCAACAAAATGATGGGATTGGTGGGCCTCAGCAGCATACTCTTCACACTGCAACCAGAGCACCCCATCCCACTGGTACAGACCTGCAGGGAAAGATGCTGAAGTTCACAAGAAAGCCCCTAAACAATGTCATGGTCCACCTGCAGAATGCACGGTGTAGGAGGCTTCCATTTGGTCGCCATACCTACACTGGTTAGGCTACAACATTGAGTTATACTGTTGGGTCTCTCACACTGCAAAGCTGGGAATGCTGCTGATCTTTTACCTCATCACGCACTGTAGTTGGCAGCATGCTACAGACTTTATCCAGGGCATTCTCAATCTCCTGCTCTGTGGAATTCTTTTCCAGTGCGGCATCCAGATACCTTATCACAGTGATACAGATTTCACACAAAGGACCCGTTTTCAGCTGGTTCGGTTTAACGTCCTCTGAAATTAAAAAAGGCAAGCATCAGAACACACATCAAACCCAGATTCACTGGAGACTGTATACAAAGAATGTAGTTGCATAAATAAAATTCTTACACCATCTAACCTTAAAGTAGTGAACACTGATGGTTTCAATCAAATAACCCAGACAACTGTCCAAAGCAATGACCCAGGTACTGGGGACAGAGAATGATGAAAATATAAAGGTGCTGTTAACTATGAGTCATGAGCACATCTTCCTGCTGCAGGCTTAATTTTGGTTCATATCCTCTTTGACAATCAACTCACTGAGACACACAGTTGGTTCTCCTAAACATGATTTAAACACACAATCCCCAATAATTCTGAACTGTTTTGCTTAAGTGTTAAAAATACTTGCATTCTAACCATCTGACTGCTTCAAGGCTTCACATTCATTACATAATATACAGGAAAGCAGCTTTGTTAGGGGTTGCAATTTGAAAAACTTTGGTATTAACAACAAAAACTTACAGACATTCATGCAACATCACAAGGGAGTTGACATTAAACAAACCAGCACAGGCAGCCGAGCTCTTAATTTGACATCTGCAATGGGTAGACAGTCTGTCTGCCCGAGAAGCCCCCTGACCATAGCTATGTTTCAATGACCTCAAGGTCATTAACATCTTAGTCCATTAACAGCCCAGCACTTTAATAGAAAGAAAAATTTCACGCACCAGTAACCACACGTTGTGTATTACTGCAGAGACCAATGACTCTGCATACTAAAGCAGGATTCAATTCCTGTGCAAGAAGATCCACCACAGCTTTCCCATATTGTTCGACAAAGTCATTGCATTCACTTTTGACAGTGGCTGGCAAAAGGGAACATACTTTCTCCACGATGTTAACAATCATCTCCTGTAGGTGAGATGCATATTAATACAATTTTACCAAGAAGAATCCCTTACACGTTTCAAGCCTGTTACATGATATTCCCATACTGCAGGTCTGGCCAATATCCATCCTTGAATCAATAGTACAGAATCAAATTATCTGGTCATTATAATATTGCTACTCAAACGTAAATCCTATTTTTCTTACATCAGTGACTACACTGATGTCAAAGTACTTAATTGGTTGTAAAGCATTTTGTAACATTTTCTGGATGTGAAAGCAGCTATTTAAATTCAGGTCTCTTGATCACCTCTTTTCCCTCAAATTGGAAACAGCTGCACAACTGTGTTTTTTGAGCTAGTTTTATAACCCTTACTCTGAAGTTTCAGGTGCTCACCTCAGTACTGTTCTTCTGCAGGTATCTGTCAATCTCTTGCAAGACAAACTCACAGATTACACACCCTTGCGATGCTGTCACAGACACTGGGCTTTTCTAAAGACAGAAAACACTTAACATGAGGAAATAATTGAGGTCAGTGATATCATTGTATAACTTACCCTGGAAAAATGCAATAATGTCTAAATTGAATGATATTTCTCCCTGTTATCAATCAAACCAGACCATGGCTAGTTCCAAACATCTTCCTAAGAGACATGGTGAGTTGAACACAGTTCTCAGATCTGCTTTAAAGAATATTCGCTAGATTAACACAGCTCCCTATCCTGCTTAAATCACCATGTGAGCTGAACACAGCTTCTAGTGAATTTTAATGGAACAGAGAAAACAATCTGATCAAAAAAATAAGAACTCAATTAGGGAGTTTTTACAAAACAAAGTCACATTCCTTTAGTTTGGGGAAGTTACCACATCTTTGTTCACTTTGGAGACGATAAAGTTGGCCCTGGGATTCCTCAAGGTTGAATCATTAGACCTTGAGCTCAATTGACTGAAAATTGAGCGGAATCATCACAAACCTTTCCTTTCCCAACATGAACAGTAAACACAGTGATGGCGACAATTCCAGCTCCTACAAGAGCTCAGTATATGGCTCAGGTGCCTTTAGAAGATATGGCAGAAAATACAGATTGCCAGAAATGTTATACGTGACCTCAACAGGAATGGCTGGAAGACAAGAATCAACTAGCTATGCAGGTTAGACTGTATAAAGATTTTAACCCAGACACATGAAGCAGTCACAAAGGTGCCTACAGCATATAATCAATTGTGACCGGATGTCTTTAATCAATGGGGTCTCCAAAGGATAAGTGGAGTCTATTTCAGGAACAGGAAGATGAGAAAGAGTACAGCACAACTAATTTCAGTACATCAGTTGCCAATAATTATGATTATTTAGCTGATCAAATCGGAACTTGGATATGGTGGAACCTCCACCTCAATCTAACATGGCTGACCAAATACACCAATGAAACCTGAATCATCAAGGATCCAACAAAAGCTCAGAAATAAAAGAGGTAGACCACTTGGTCCCTCGAACCTGCTCTGCCACTCAAAAAGTTCATGGCCGATTCGTTTGTGCTCTCAATTCCATGTTCCCAGCTTTCTGCATAATACTGCCGAACAACTCCTCTACTAAGTTAATATTCTCAGATACATCCTATTAGCCTTTGTTTACAAGCACTGTAACTTTTTGTAAATCATGTACTGGACACCAAAATCCCTTGGCACCTTGGAATTCTGTGGTCGTTTTCTATTTAACTAATACTGTGCTTTTTTACTCTTCCTTACAAAGTGAACATCATCACATTTTCCCACATTTTGCTCCATCTCTCAGATTTTTGCTCACTCATTCAAGCTATGTTTGTCACAATTAAAAAGAGAAAGCACTGAAGAACTAAAACTTTCAAGAAGGGTCATTTTATCCACAGATGCTGCCAGCATTTCTATTTTTGTTTCTGATTTCCAGCATTCACAGTTCTTTCATTTTTTAAATCTACATTTGTCATACAGTCATAAAGCATGGAAACACACCTTCAATTCAACTCATCCATGCCAACCAAGTTCCCCGAACTAAACTCATCTCACTTGCCTGCGTTTGGCCCATATCCCTATAAATCCTGCCTACTCATGTACCTGTCCAAATGTCTTTTAAATGTTGTAACTGTACTTGCATCCACCACTTCCTCTGGCAGTTAATTCCACATATAAACCATCCCCTATTTGAAAACGTTGCCCCTCAGGTCCCTTTTAAATCTTTCTCCTCTCACCTTAAAAAATGCCCTCTAGTTTTGAACTCCCCTACCCTAGGGAAAAGAACTTTGCTATTCACCTTATCTATGCCCCTCATGATTTTATAAACCTTGACAAGGTTACCCCTCAACCTCCTATGTTCCAATGTAAAAAGTCCTAGCTTATCCAGCCTTTCAGAGTCACAGAGATATACAGCACGGAAACGGTCCAACTCATCCATGCCGATCAGATATCCTAAATAAACCTGGTCCCATTTACCAGCGTTTGGCCCATATCTCTCCAAACCCTTCCTATTCATATACCCATCCAGATACCTTCTAAATGTTGTAATTGCACCAGCCTCCACCACTTCCTCTGGCAGCTCATTTCATACACGCACCATCCCCTGCATGAGAAAGTTGCCCCTTAGGTCCCTTTTAAATCTTTCCCAACTCACCTTAAACCTATGCCCTCTAGTTTTGGACTCCCCCACTCCCAAGGAACAGGTCTTGTCTATTTACCCTATCCATGCCCCTCACGATTGTATAAACCTCTATAACGTCACCTCTCAGCCTCTGACACTCCAGGGAAAGTAGCCCCAGTCTGTTCAGCCTCTCCCTATAGCTTAAACCCTACTACCCTGGCAACATCCTTGTAAACCTTTTCTGAACCCTTTCAAGTTTCACAACATCCTCCCTATAACAGGGAGACCAAAATTGCACGCGGTATTCCGACAGTAACCTAACCAATGTCCTATACAGCCGGACATAACCTCCCAACTCCTATACTCAATGCACTGACCAACAAAGGCAAGCATACCAAATGCCTTCTTCACTATCCTACCTATCTGGGATTCCACTTTCAAGGAACTATGAACCTGCACTCTAAGGTCTCTTTGCTCAGCAACACTTCCCAGAACCTTACCATTAAGTGTATAAGTCTTGTCCTCATTTGCCTTTCTAAAATGCAGCATCTCGCACTTATCTAAATTAAACTCCACCTGCCAATCCTTAGCCCATTGGCCTACCTGATCAAGAATCCGTTGTACTCTGAGTAACCTTTTTTGCTGTCCACTATACCTCCAATTTTGGTGTCACCTGCAAACATACTAATCATGCCTCCTACATTCACATCCAAATCATTTAAATAAACAACAAAAAGCAGTGGACCCAGCACCAATCCTTGTGGCACACTGCTGGCCTACAGTCTGAAAAGTAACCCTCCACCACCACCCTCTGTCTTCTATCTTCGAGCCAATTCTGTATCCAAGTAGCTAGTTCTCCCTGTATTCCATGTGATCTAACCTTGCTAACCAGTCTACCATGAGGAACCCTGTCGAATGCCTTACTGAAGTCCATATACCGTAAAAGTTGAATTTTTTAGTCTGTTTTTTAAGGTTAAATTTAGAGGTTTGACTATTACATGGATTCTACTTTTGAGGAGCTGAAATCCATGCAACGGTCCAAAATACTGTATCATTAGCAGAAGCCCAACTGATCTCTAAACAAATAAAGAAAAAAAACAATGAATTATGGTACCAGTAATTACTGATAATGACAATAAAAACAAAAATGAATTACCAGTAGTAAGCTTTTATTTATGCATACAAAAGTTAAACAATATCTTCAGTGCCGAATAAAGCTTCATATCATCAGGATGGACGTTATCATCGCATGGATCCTCTTCAACTTCGCTGTGTGTAATTAGAGGTAGCACATCATCCGCTTCTTCTTCTTCATCTATGTCATCTCATAATCATCCTCTGTACTGTCCAATGTATTCAAAATTCCACATTTCTTGAATGATTTGAAAATAGTGTCAGCTTTTATTTCCTTTCATGAATCGACGATCCACTTACAGATCAGTGGCAGTGATGGAGCCTGCATGCTGCCTCCTCTCGCAAATGTTTTTTCTCCATCACGCATCTAGTTATTCCACTTCATTCTCATCATGTCCTTAAATGGCTTATTGATACTAACATCCATTGCTTTCAAAACACTACGTCTACCGGGAATTACAGCTACATCAGTGTTTTGTGATCAGACGTTATCAACAACCACCTTCACTAAATGTGATCTAAACTGGTCCCAGACGAGCAAACTCTCTTCCCTGCGTAGTCCACCCGGTTGTAAATTTCAAACTTCCTTTATCCATGTTCTACATCCACCTTCATCCATCCAGCCTTGTAAATGCATATGGATGACAATTCCTTTTGGAAATTTCTGCTTCGGCAAAGTTTTTCTCTTAAAAACAGCCATTGGTTTTAACTTAGTGCCTTCAGCCATACAAGAACGAACTATAGTAAAGCCAGTTTTCTCATTGCCAGTGGTTTTTACCAATACTGTTTTTTCTCATTTTTGGTTCACAGTTCGATTCTCCAGTCAAGAGTAATAGGGGTTTTGTTCATGTTTCCAAAACATGATAACTTGTAGCCTTTCTTCTGATTACAAACTGGTGAATCTGTAATCTCTTACCTTTGAGTTTAGCAGGCAGCTTTTGTGCAATCTTAGTTCTCTGCCGAAGTACTAAGTCATGCCTTCTCATGAACCTTGCGCACCATCCAGCACTTGCCTTAAAATCCGAACTACTATCCTTCTTTGATTTGTTTCGTGCACAGATTTGGATGGCTTCACGACTAAAACATCTTCTATTTTGACAATTTTCAAGTATCCACTCAGCAACTTTTTTCTCCAATTGTGGCCACTTGCTAGATTTACTCTGTTGGCACACTTTCGTCTTGGCATTGTCTGAAGTTGGTTTGATAGCTTTCTTCAGTCTCTCACAAGTGTCTCCAAGACACAAAATTCTCTTACTGCTACAGTGTTATTGGTCTTCTCTGCAACCTCAATTACTTTCATTTTAAACATTGTTGTATAATTTTTGTTTTTCTTTAGAGGGCATTTTTACACAAAATGATGAAGAAATTTGAAAACCTCAACTTGGTATATGACTATATTCCTCAAGTGCCTGACTCTGACCTGATGGGGCTTAAACTTTCGTCCCAAATTCTTCCATTTCCCTCTGTTTTCTCTCATCTACTGTTGTTTTAGCTGACTCTCATACAGTCTCACCAATCATTTCCTCATTCTAACATTTACCAGTATGTACAGGATAACTCATAAATGTTGACCTTTATCCGTGAAGAACTAGGATCGACTTTTACACGAGATATATGGAAAACTCAAGGTTTTTCGGCCAAAAATAGGGAGTTAACTTTTACATGAGATCAACTTTTACTCAAGTATACATGGTAGGTCACATCCACCACTCTGCCGTCATCAATCCTCTGTTATTTCTTCAAAAAACTCAAGTTAGTGATACACAATTTCCCATGCACAAAGCCATGCAGACTATCTTTAATCAGTCCTTGCTTTTCCAAAAACATGTAAATCCTGTCTCTCAGGACTCCCTCCAACAACTTGCCTACCATCGATGTCAGGCTCACCAGTCTATAGTTCCCTGGCTTTTCCTTACCACCTTTCTTAAATAGCGGCACCACATTAGCCAGCCTCCAGTCTTCCGGCACCTTGCCTGTGGCTATCGATGATACAAATTTCTCAGCAAGGGGCCCAGCAATCTCTTCTCTAGCATTCCACAGAGTACTAGGGTACACCTGATCAGGTCCTGGGAATTTATCCACCTTTGTGTGTTTAAGACATCCAGCACCACCACCTCTGTAACATGGACATTTTCAAGATGTTGCTATTTATTTCCCCACGTTCTCTATCTTCCATATCGTTGTCCACAGTAAAGGCAAAATACTCATTAGTATCTCCCCCATCTCATGCAGTTCCACAGGTAGGTGGCCTTGCTGATCTTCTTTATAACTCAAACTCTCCAGCCCTGGCAACATCCTTGTAAACCTTTTCTGCATCCTCTCCAATTTAGTAATATCCTCCTTATAGCAGGGCAACCAGAACTGTACATAGTATTTCAAAAGTGGCCTCACCAACATCCTGAACAACCTCAACAAGACGTCCCGACTTCTATACTCAATGGTCTGAACAATGAAAGCAAGAATGTTAAATGCCTTCTTCACCACTCTGTATACCTCTGATGTCACTTTCAAGAAATTACATACCTGAAGCCCTAGATCTCGCTGTTCAACAACACTATCTGAAGCCCTACCATTAACTGTATAAGTCGCACATTTGTTTGTTTTACCAAAATGCAATACCTCACATTTATCGGAATTAAATTCCAGCCACCACTCCTCAGCCCACTGACTCAACTGATCAAGATCCTTTTGTATTCTTACATATCCTTCTTCACTGTCCACCATACCAACAATTTTGGTGTCATCCACAAACTTACCATCCATATTCTCATCCAAATCATTTATATAAATGACAACAACAGTGGATGCAGCACAGATCCCTGCAGAACACCGCTGCTTGCAGGCCACCAGCGTCAAAAGCATCCCTCCGCCATCACCTTCTGTCTGCTACCGTCAAGCCAATTTTGTGTCCAACTGGCAAGCTCTCCCTGAATCCCATGTGGTCTCACTTCACTAACCAGTTTTCAATTTTCTTTTGTGAGGGAAAAATATTGGGCATGGCTCCATTTTATCAAGCACGTTATTCCTACAAAGGATTCTAATCAATAGATTAAATATATGTCTTTGTCAAAATTTTAGTGACATTTTTGATTAGCTTGAATTTCCCTAGTGTGGTAGCTGTTATCTCTTTCATGATCAATTCTAACACCTTCCGTACACTACACGGTGCTACACACAGACAGAAGGCTGGAAACATGGACATGGTGATCACAGAATCATAGAATCCCTACAGTGTGGAAACAGGCCCTTTGGCCCAACAAGTCCACATCGACCCTTACAGCATCCCACACAGACCCATCACCCTATAACCCCCCTAATCTACATATCCCTGAACTCTACGGGCAATTTAGCATGGCCAATCCATCTAGCCAGCACATCTTTGGATTGTGGGAGGAAACCGGAGCACCCGGAGGAAACCCACGCAGACACGGGGAGAATGTGCAAACTCCACACAGGGTGGGATCGAACCAAGATTCCTGGCGTTGTGAGGCAGCAGTGCTAACCACTGAGCCACCGTGCCATCCCAAATGTGTTGTAATGAATGTGACTGCACTGTTCAAAGCAAGTTTTAAAAGAGGCTTTTAAATTTATCATGAGTTTTGACACTGAATAGAGAAAAAGAAAACACATCTTACAGTAAGGACAGCTGTTAGGAGAATGAACAGCTTTGCTAAGAATAAATGAGGCAAAAAAAACCCCTGCAAATCTTTAGAGAAGCTTAAAGAGAAGTTCTGCTTCAAAACTCAACTCAGAGGAAAAGCTACGGGAGAAGTGCAACAAGAAGATTAAACAGTCCTCATGGTTTTGCCAAGGGCCAGCAGATGATAGCTAAATGTTCACCTTCTGTGGTGTACACTTTCAGACTGTAAGACTCTGTTCAGGTTTACATCTGGTCCAAAAAAGTGACATCAGTCCAACATATACTGGTTCTGTGAAAGAGTTATCTAGTTAATCTTGTTACCCTACATTCTCTGCCTTGCAATTTTTGGTTTCAAGTATTTGTGCAATTTTCTTCCATCACTGAATCTATTGAACCTCCATGTTAAGGTAGTGCATTCCAGACATAATGCACTGTGTAAAAGAATTCTGCTCAATTTTCCCCTGGATTCTCAACAGTCTAAGTAAATGCTCTCAGAACAATCCTAATTTCTTTTCAGATAAGTGAAATCCCTCAATCCGGGTATGTAACTGGCAAATATTGTAAAAGGAATGACGGATTTTAATTATCAGAAAATAATGAACAGGCTAGGATTTTCCTCACTAGAAAAAAAGGAAAGCTGAGGTCATAAAATATTGAGGGGCTTGATAGGGGTCGACAGAGAAGAAGGACCTAAAAACTAGTTGTCAAAAATATAAAATAGTCATTAATTGATCCAATGGGGATGAAGCAGGATGAAGCATGTACATGTGGAACATAAGGGGAAGCACAGGCCTATTTCTGCCCTGTAAACTCTGCGTAAATCCCCTCTTTACCCTGAGGCCTCAACATTTCTAATGCTGTGGGGCTCGGAACTGAGGCAGAGTGTTATAATCATTTACCTTCTTTGTTACTGCACACTATGCCTGTCTGTGTATTATCCATTGGGCCTACACTCCAGGTGCAGAAGAAGTTACAAAGACATTTCCTCACACATGAAAATAGGAATGGCACTTTTCTGTACCTGAATAGGTTTAACAATGGCTTTCTGGAGGAGCTGCATTGGAACAGTGGTTGGTCTTTGGCAGAATCCATTTGTTGTACAGATTTCTTTTGCATCCTAAAAGGAAAATAGATCTCTTAGTCAAAACAGCAAAAGGAACAAAGAGCACTATTTGAAAAAGTACAAGTGATTGGAGCATCTTAGTTGTGACACAGTCACAAGCAATCAAGATATGGTTTTAATCCCTGCACAAAGCAATAATTAAATTCCTCAATGATGAAAATTAAACCAAATAGAAGTGGAGATTTAACATAGCACTAGAACTTCTTCAGCTCCAAAGAGTCAGGCTAGACTTGAAACATCAACTCAGTATCTCTAAATAAATGTCTCATCTGTGAGTTTCCGAGCATCTTTTGTTTTATGGCGTAGGACATGTTGCAATTGAGCAGGGGATGAGCACAGCAGGGCAAGGCCATGGATGAACACGGTGGTGTCATTTAAAAAAAAAAAAAAAAATTGGCTACATTATAAAACTGACTTCAGGTAATAGTCCCTTTTTGGCAACCAGTTAACTTTGTACAGACCACATAAAAATGGAGTCTTTCTGGTTTATATTGCTTAGTTCTCCACAGCATTAACCAGTTGTTCTGTCCTTGGGTTTTAGGGGCCATCAACTGATCCTCAAATGCCAGTAGATATTATGGGCTGCAACACAGGCACTTAGCATCAGGTAGATATTATGGGTTGTACACCTGGCCTCAGTTCTCATTTGGGTATTATTAGCTCTTGGTTCCCAAGGAGACAAAGAAATTTCCCAAATCAGAGATATGTTGCCTGCTCAAAGCCAGGAGAGTAACATGATAGCCATAACTGACATCTGTGACTGGGCTAAAGAGAAGAAAAGATGATGTATTATTCCATGTGATTACATTCCAGAGATTCCTGCTGGAATGGACATACAGTTAGGGAAGCATAATGGCAAGAAACTTCACCTATATTCTCAAATTAAACATTCCCCTGGCAGATGAGGAACTGTACTGCAGCAAGCATGGCAAGTAGATTGGGAAGTTTTCCAATCAAAACAATTAATCTAATTTCAACTAAATGGATTTAAACTTTGTTGATTTGGATTGTGTTTTGATAACAACATCACACGTGAATTACAGTACTAGACTGAGTGTGGAGCTGCACACTGTGAAGATTCAATTCTTAAAAGAATGGATAACAGGAAATGCTTACTATCTTTGCAGTATTCAAACAGGTCCAGAGCCAAAAGAACAATCTCCCATTGAATACATTACCTGACATGTAGATTCTGCACTCTTGCAAGTTGCTCTGACACCAATAGCACCTTTGTTAAAGAAATCTAAAAAGCAGACCAGTATTTATCATAAAGCTCTTTGAACACTGCTGTCAAAACACCTTTCAGGTTCTGAAAAGGATGACAGCAGAATTGGTGGAGCTCCCTTATAGCAATACAGTTTGGTCAAAAAGCAGTTAATCATTACAAATAAAAACAGAATGCTGGAGAGACACAGCAGATCTGGCAGCACTATGGAGATGAATATTTAGAGCCTAATATGATTCTTCTTCAGAATCATCAAGCAGCATCATTGTCAACATATACTATTAGAGGAAATAGGAGCTGCAGTTGTTAAAGCTAAAAGCTGACAACAAGGAGGAGAGCAGCCCCGGACAAAAATATCTGACTTTTTTTGTGACAAAGGATCATGCAATTGCAGCGTAGTTTATAGTTTGTAGTGAAATGCAAATGCCAAATGTTTATTGGCAACTGTTAGTCTTGGCAATTATTTGATTTGATTTATTGTTAGGTGTATCTAAGTACATGAAAAGCTTTGTTTGTGAGCAGTACAGGCAGATCATAGTAAGGACATAGAGATCATAGGGTGAAAAAAACCTTGAACAGAGCAAGGTATATAGGTTACACGAACAGGACATGCGTTAGACAAGATAAACGTTAACAAGATCTGCACTATTTGAAGTTAGAGAGTCCATTCATCAGTCTAATAACGGCAGGGAAGAAGTTGTTCTTCAACCTGCTGGTGTGTGTTCAAGCTTCTGTATCTTCTGCCTGATGGAAGAGGTTGTAGGAGAGCATTTCTGGGGTGGTTGGGTCTTTGGTGATGTTGGCAGCCTTTCCGTGACAACAGGACGTGAAAACGGAGTCTATGGATGGGAAGTTGGTATCCATGATGGCCTGGCCTGTGCATACAACATTTTCTAGTTTCTTATGGTCCTGGGCAGAGCAGTTGCTGGACCAGGCTGTTATGCACCCAGACAGTTTGCTTTCTATGTTGCATCTGTAAAGGCTGGTGAGGGTCCTTACAGACATGCCAAATTTCCTGTGCCACCTGAGGAAGAGGTGTTGCTGTGCCTACTTGACTGTCGCACCTATGTGGGAAGTCTAAACAGGTTGTTGGCCATCATCACTCCTAGGAACTTAATGCTCTCAACTCTCTCAACCTCCGCTCCATTGATGTTGTAAACTTCAAACAGGATGTAACATTTTTCCCTTTCTTTACCCTTTTTGTTCAAAATGTGGACCAACACATTCATACCAAATCACCAGAGAGCTCAGCATTTCAACATTTGAGTGTTTTATGCAAATAATTATGCAGTGCAGGGTAAAGTAAATACTGACACCAGAATGGAACCTATTTCTATCTGTCCATCTTGTGCAGAAATGCCTGTTGAAGGAGTTAAAAGTTAAATGATCATAAGTAAAGAAGTTATGGTACGATTTTGGTGACTTTCTTGGGCTACCACTGGATTACGCCAAATTGTAAAGTCAATGTAAATTAGTTTAAACAATCAGAATGGGAAGATATATGGTTAACTTTTCAATTGTGCCCATTCACAGAACTCTAATCCAAGATCTAAGATACTGAATTTGATTCGCTTTGTGGCTCAGCTGAGCATACATCATCTGCTGCTGGAAGTGGAGTAAGTTTGAAAGCTTGAATGAGCTTTTACATCAACTGTAATGCATAACAAAGATTACATTTTGACATACACACTAACAACACATTGCCCTACCTCACCATTATCTCTCTCACCCCTGCACTGTCTCTAAACTCTCACAGCTTGTTGTGGGGCTATTCCTTAATCACTCATTGCAGCTCTTATAGAAACTTGAACTACCTACTGGAGTTCCCAATGAACTTCCAACGACATATGTGTATAACACTTACATTGCCTACTTCCAGCACTACAACATTGCCGTCTCCAGCCTATCTCAGCTCATTTGCTGTTGAAAACCTTACCCATGTCTTTTGAAATTCAAGTGCAGTCCTGGTTGGTCTCCTACATTACATCCTTTGTAAACGTGAGGCCATTCCAAACTTTGGTGTTTGCAATCCCCATCACATTAAGTTCTTTCAGCTATTCACTCATGTACTCCTGATCTTCACTGACTCCTTTATAAGCAACACTATTAATTCAAAATTCTAATCCTCGATTTCAACTCCCTCTATAGACTCACCTACCCCCGCCTCTCTGTCATCTTCACTATTTCCACAACTTTCTGGAATCTGAGCCCATCAGATTCTGGCCTGTTGATCATTCCAGATTTTGACCGTGCCACTTTGATGGCTGAAACCTGGTATCCTTTCCCTAAACCATTGGGCTCATTTCTGAACATCCAAAGCAAAAGTAAACCATTTGGCCTGTTGAATCTGATCCGTCATTTAATAAGATCATGGCTGATCTGCACGGACAATGTATTCCACTTGAGTAGGATCACATTCACAAACATTCACTCCCTCTACCACCAACTTACAGTAATAGCAGTATCACACAAATTGCTGGAAAAACTCTCCAGGTCTGTTTTTGTTTCTGATTTCCAGCATCCACAGTTCTTCGTCTATTTTTGTACTTTATGATGCACCTCAGAAATTCACCAAGGCTCATTTGATAGTACCTTCCAAATCTACGAACACTACCATCCAGAAGGACAAAGGATGCAAATAGATAGGAATATCACCCCCTGCAAGCTCCCTTCTAAGTGAGTCATCAACCTGGCTTAGAAATATACTGCCGCCCCAGAACTCCTTCCTTAATGGCACTGTGGGTTTACCAACATTAAGTGGATGGCAACAAAGGCGGCAGCTTACCACCAACTTTTCATAGGCAATTACAGATGGTCAAGAAAGATGGTCCAGCCAATGATGATGACATCCCACGAATGAACAAAATCTGTTCCTCACCCGAAACACAGACAAGACAGGCCTTCTGGTCAAGCATGCACAACAGTCGGAGAGGAAACTCCTACCAGTCAATGCCTATCAGGGGTTGTGGAGTCATTGGGTAAGAGAAAAAACAGTTAGCTAAGCAAAGACCTGACCTGGAAGCTGACAATGGTTAATGGTCAAGACTGGGATTTCCACTTGCTCAAACTCGGGGAAGCTGCATCCCAGCTGACAACATTCAGTTGACTAGAGGTTTCTTTTAAGCACTGTTTTTAAGGTGTGTGACCTTGTTAAGCCTAAAAGAAATACATAGGCTTTGGATGAGAATGAATCTGCCAAATGAAATTTTATTGAAGTATTTCGAAGAAGCAGAAAAAATTTACAGATAAGATATAATGTGTTATTGTTGAATTAGCTAAAAAACACTTCAACGTATTGATGATGTTAAAGCAGGGGCCACTGGTAGAGAAAAAGAACTAAGAAAAGCTGCATGTTGTCCTTCTGGATTGTGCTTGCAAACTGTCCTCTTTCAAAATCAGTTGCCAGCTGCCTGATTTTTTTCCCAGTCTGCAGCTACGCTGAGGCCTGCCTTGTGCTTTCCGTCATGTGATCACAGAACTTTCTCAACATTTGATCCCTGCCTCCTCAACCAGCAGCTCAAACTCTGCTGCCACCTCCAATATACAATTAACTGCACAGTTTAGAAAACACAAAATATTTCAAACACATTCCTGAAGAGATGGAAGTTGGGAAAATAAACAGGGTAGAATCTATGATTTCAAAGTTAGAATTTCACCAAATCATTAACATTTCTCATCCCTGTGAAGCGAACCTAACAGAAAGATATGGCGATATTCCTCGAGTTTGCACTGCATTAGGTGATGAGGCAGGCTGAGGACCAGGCGCCAGGGCAATTTACAGATTACTCCCCTTGCCACATCCTGAAACGGAAAATGGTGGAAGATTTGGCAGCTAAATTACAAACTGTAATATTTCCAAGTTATAATCTGATTTTTGCACAAGGATTATTCTAATACTCACAGTCTGCAATAATACCTCAGCCACCCGTGGTGCGTGTAGAACAATGTACTTCTCACACTGAAACACAAAGCAATGCCTGTTAATATATATTTGGACATTATAGCACACCACTTGTAAACAAACATTTCCACACAAATCATTGGGTAAGGTGATAGAGGTGACAGGTTACTGCAGTATTGCAACAGGTCACAAAAGAGGACAGAGATTATCTTTTGAGAATTTGCAGATTCCCAGATGAAAGAGGCACAGTTTTGGTAGACTTGTGGGAATATCCCCTCGAGAGTGAGGTTATACTACGTTTTCATTTGATGACCCTCAAGCCACTGCCTTCACCTGAAACACAGAAAAGGTTAGGTTGGAACCACTGGTGATGAGGAGATGTGAGAGCACAGATCATCTATGCACCAGGAGAAACAAATCCACATGTAGACCAGAGTGGCAGAGCACAAATTTTAAAACATTAAAAATGAGACAGAAAGAGAGCGAGAGAGGGGTCGACACACTGACACTTCGCACGATGTCCATGAGTCATACATGAGCCTGCTGGGAAGAGACTTTCCAATCGCCTCTCCTTCCCAATCAATGCTCCCAGTATTGACTCTGACAGGTGATCAGTACTCACTGACTCTCTCCCTCCGGATTGTCTTGTAAATAAGGCCCTTACCGTTCATCAATTCAGTGTTGAATAATTGCATTGTCATGGCCATGACAGAGACCTAATTGAGAGCTGCAAAAACCTTCCCCAAACCTGGTTATAACATCTGTCATTAGCCTCTCAGAAAACTGTGGCGCTGATATCAGTGCCAGCACTAAATCAAGGCCTGGTTTTGACACCCTGCTCTTCTGGCACTAACTACACCTTTCAATGTCTCACTTTCATCCACACTCATACCTTTCACTTAAAATCCTTGCTCTCCACTAGCTTTTCTTGATTCTATCTTCACTATTGGATTCCTTCAGCCTTTACACGAAACCACTGTTCATTCTCCATAATTCAGTTCCCATCTCAACTAATTCTCCCTTAATCTCTTCCTCCATATAAAGTCCTCAAACCAAGCCCACAATCAGCCCTTTAACCTTACCATCTCATATGACTTTGCTGCTCCCATTGTGACAATCAGGGTATGACCAGTGCTCAAAATACACAGAAGTGGGTGTATCCACGCTCGACAATGTTTATCAGAATAAGTCATGCCCATAACAGAATAGGTGGAAATTGTGATGAGTTGGGTCTCTCCCATGCTTTTAGCTGACAAGTTCATAGTGAGCCTGTGATTGGAGAATGGAGGGGAGTGGTAGAAATTAGCATGGCTGGAGGGTTCAGAGGTTGCTGGACAGGGATGTAAGAAGAGCAAGTCCGTTTGGGACCTGGGTGGGGGGATGGTGGTGAGTGGACAGGGAAGACTCATAAGAAGGGAGAGATGGCCTTGTAGAGTAGAGATGGGGGAGCAGGAAGGCAGGCGGCAAACAAGGTGGGATAGCACTGAAAAAGATGGGGCAAGTGGGGGTGGAGTCCTAAGTGTGAAATGATAGGGGACAACAGTGAGAGAAGGGAGAGGGTCGTTAAATGGTTGAGAGTGAGTGAAAGAAGGTCTGCAAAGTGGCTAGAAGCAGTGGTTTGGGGACAGCAGCTGATGGGGAGGAGGCACCATAAATATCAGAACACAGGGAAGGAGGGAGAGGGTCCACAAACAGGAGGGTGGAGTCCAAATGCTGGAAAATAGTTTCAAACTTTTCAACAAAAGAATACTTGCCAAATTGGGAATAAGAAAACTAATATAAAAAGTTCTTTGCGAGTTAAGGTCGAGTAACTGCACTCAAACTGAAGTTCAGAAAGTACTACATGGGAGAAAATTTTATGGATACTATTGCAATGAACACTATAAATTCAATAATTTAACATTGAACAGTTTTATTTCACAGACTTGTATTTGTGTACAGTCACATATGAGGTGGAGTGGATGTGACAAAGCTGTAATGATTCAACTGGGACTTCACTAGTACACAAAGTTTTTAGGTGATGGATCTTTGTATATAGAGTCTGAATATGTTCTGCACTGCTGCAACATCATAATGATACACCCGATTTGACTTACCAGCTCTGTTAAACCGGGTCCAAGATTACACTGCTGCTTTAACTGAGAAATGAGCTTATCCAAGACAAGGGCATTTTCTTTCACAGTAGTCTGAAGGTTAGTGATGAACTGGGTACAGTCCAAACACACAGCATCATTGCTCTGAAACAAATGGATCAGAATGAGAAACCCTGAAAATACAAACCCACCTCAGGAGCAAATGAAAGACTTGTGTAACCTGTCGAAACTGCTGATCTCCAACTACTTCAATGTCCACTGCTTAACTGTATGCGACAGAACAGGTTAAAAGCAACAAACTATCTTACAAAACTTCAGAGTGTTGCTTTAAGATGTTCTAGAACATAAAACATATTAATTTCAGCTGCACAACAAACCACTGGGGTACAGATCTGTAAAGAGATAGCAAATTAAAGGGAATAAAAAAAATGATGACACAAAATGTAGGGGTAGAAATGAAACTAATAAAGAATGGTATAATGGATATAAACTGTGGACCAGAGCCAATGAAAAGACGGAAACCGCTAACAGCAGCTGACAAGCAATGAGGTTAGGTACACACCATGATCTATGGTAGAAGCAACAGAAGGTGTCAATGGTAACTGAGGGCTCCTACGATAAGCACATGAAAACAGATTTGGTGAGGTTTCCATACAGTGGCAGAAGAGAAACAGAAGGTGAAGAATTTCAAGGTCACACATTCAAGGGCCTTCTCCAATAAAGGGCAGGATGGAGAAAGGAGGGAATTAAAAAATAATGGGATGAGGGTATATTTGCTCTCACAAAGAATGCAGTATTGCAGAATGCAGGTGATCATGGATTGATCTATTTACAAATAACATTTAATTTATTACCGCTTGTCTTATTTTGTACAATTCTTTGATAACGCAACAATGAGTTTCAAAAAACAAATTGTATTTGAGTGGACCTCTGTTCAAATAGATCAGTATTTGTGATTGATAATTAAGTGCAATTTGTAAGCCACATAAAAGATAACCATTGTCTGTAAAGAATTAGTCATCTAAAAATGTGGTAACAGATAAATACCGCTACTGACTGCAAGGGATAGAGAGAAGGAACTGTCTCCCAAACATGGATATAAATGACTGGGCATATGAAACAAGCTAAGTTTACGCTAGCATGAATGGAAATGATCTGTTGCAGTTTTCAAAAAAATACTTAACACACATGAAGTACGGCTTTTTTTTTAATGCATGAAACATTGCCATAACTGAACGTACAAGTGAGCACATACGTACAAACGAGAACACTCGTTTGCTTTGACCGAGCCCAGTTAGCTTTTGTTCAAAACCCCCATTCTACTTAGGTCATGTTGGAGTAATGCAAAACTTTGGTTAGAACCACAGCTTGAATATTGTGTGCAGTTCCGATCACCACACTTAAGGAAGAATGTGACTGCACTAGAGATTTATAAGCTCCCTCTCCCAACTCAGCAACAGTAGCAAACACAGCTACCTAACTGACATGGAAATGTTACTAGAGGACACAAGGCTCCAGCAGGGGACTGTTAGTGCACATAGTCTGAAAAAAACAATTGAAAATCTGTTCTTTGTTGATACAGAAGACAAAAAGGATCTGCTCTATACTAAAGGAAAATAGACATCACTGCAAATTGATCTAATGTTACATTTAATGTAATTGTCGGTCCTATTCTCAGCTGCTCAAAATCAGCTTTTCTTTGATCTACTAAACTGGTTTTCCCTATGTCCTTCTCTATCATAATTTTTGGCACACGCAGAAGACATGGAAACAGATCCTAATTTTTTCTTTGTTAAACCATGCTTGGTTAATTCTAAAATGGACACTTGCTGGATTTAAAATAACTGCCATCAAACACAGAACAAGCAAACTTGGCTGCTTCTTGAAATTTCAAGCAATTACCAGAATAACAGCTTTCATGACATTATCTATCTGGAATTTCCCTCTCTCACTATTGAGCATTAAAGGTATGGACAGACAGCTGGTCAGTGGGATCAGACTAAAGCTCTAATCCACTAGGTTAAAAGGTTGAAGCTATCCTACAACATTCAATAAGATTAGCTAAAAGGTATTAAAACAAATATGGATGAAACATGATGAAATAACTATGAAGTTCCACAAGAACATAATGATGGGTTTTGGAGGCTATTGAGAAATAGCAATGAGAAAGGAGATGAAAAAGTAGTCGCTTTTTTTGAGATAGAGACACCATGGTTCTGGAATTATCTGTGTGTGGGTTTTGAAAACTTTGCTTATACAGAGGCTATATAATCTCAGACCTTTTACATTGAATTGATGAGACAGTTGGGCTTCAATTTGATATTTTATTCTGCAATAATGGGTAGCACTCCCTTGATACAGCTTTGAAGTGTTAATCTGTACAAAATTCTCAAAACCCACTGTGGGACTTCCAACTACTCATTTTCTGACTTGGAAGAGAGACTGCCTTCTCCAAGCCAAGCTTCCACTTAGTCCAGACCATTTTAAAAAAATTTTTATTCGTGGGGTGTGGGCATTGTTGGCTGGCCAGCATTTATTGTCCACCCCTAGCTGCCCTTGACAAAGTGGTGGTGAGCTGCCTTCTTGAAGTGCTGCAGTCTACCTGCTGCGGTTTGACCCACAATGCCGTTAGGGAGGGAATTCCAGGATCTTGACACAGTGATGGTGAAGGAACGGCAATATATTTCCAAGTCAGAATGGTAGTGGTTTGGAGGGGAACTTGAAGATGGTGTTGTTCCCATGTTTCTGCTGCCCCTGTCCTTCTAGGTAGAAGTGGTTGTGGGCTTGGAAGGCACTGTCTGAGGGTTTTTGGTGAATTTCTGCAGCGTATCTTGTCGATAGTACACACTGCTGCTACTAAACATCAGTGGTGGTGAGAGTGGATGCTTGCGGATGTAGGGCCACTCAAGCTGGCTGCTTTATCCGGGATGGTGTCAAGCTTCTCAAGTGCTGTTGGAGCTGCACCCATCCAGGCAAGTGGGGAGTATTCCATCACACACCTGACTTGTGCCTTGTAGATGGTGGACAGGCTTTGGGGATTCAGGAAGTGAGCTACCCGTTGCAGTATTTCTAACCTCTGACCTGCTCTTGTAGCCACTGTGTTTATGTGGTGAGTCCAACTGAGTTTTCTGGTCAATGATAATCCCAAGGATTTTGATAGTGGGGGAATTCAGTGGTGGTAACACCATTGAATGTCAAGGGGCGACGGTTAGATTATCTCTTAATGGAGATGGTCATAGCCAGGCATTTGGATGGTGTGAATGCTACTTGCCATTTGTCTGCCCAAGCCTGGATATTGTCCAGATCTTGTTACATTTGAACATGAACTGCTTCAGTATCTGAGGAGTCACGAGTATGCAATGTTCAGCACCAATCATTGGCAAACGTCCCCACTTCTGACCTGATGGAGAGAAGGTCATGGATGAAGAAGCTGAAAATGGCTGGGCCTAGGACACTACCCTGAAGAACTCCTGCAGAGTTGTCCTGAAGTTGAGATAAATGACTTCCAACAACCACGACCATCTTTCTATGCATCAGGTATGACTCCAACCACTGGAAAGTTTACCCCCGATACCCAGTGATTCCAGTTTTGCTAACTCCTTGATGCCACAATCTGTCGAATACAACTTTGACATCAAGGGTTGTCATTCTCACCACACGTCTGGAATTCAGTTCTTTTGTCCATGTATGAAGCATGGCTGTAATGGGTTCAGGAGCTGAATGACCCTGGCAGAATGCAAACTGCATGTCACTGAGCAGGTTATTGTTGAGAAGGTGCTGCTTTATAGCACTGTTGAGGACATCTTCCATCACTTTTCTGATGGGGCGGTAATTGGCCGGGTTGGATTTGTACTGGTTTTTATGTACAGGACACATCTGGGCAATTTTCTACCTTGTCTGGTAGATGCCAGTGTTGTAACTCTTTCAGAAATGTGTTAGAACACTTGGCTAGTTTAAAGGAGGATAGTGGAGAATCAAAAGAAAACAGTGCAGAATACCAGGTTAAAATCTCCTAGTGGAGGAAACCAAATATAATTATGAGAGATTCATCGAGAAATGAATCCAAGGCATGACAACGCTGTGGCTTTAAGAGGTTATCTTGTCCTGTTTTGTGAAGAGAGCTTGTAAGGCAGAGGCTCCAAGCAGTCTACCAAAACCACTAGTGTAAACAATTTGCGAGGCCGTGGGTTTTTTTTTCAAAAAAGCTGCAACAATAGAACCAGCCTGGATGGGTGCAGCCAGCTCTCAGGCCAGGATTTCTAGTTTTTTCTTTAATTTTTAGGTTTAGCTTCAAGCAGTTGCTGTGGTGGGCTTGAAGAAGTGGAAACTATTTTTCCCTCTCTCGATTACAGCCAAACACTGGGGCTTCTCTTCCCAGGCTGCTAGATTGCATGTGAAACAAAATCTGTTTTTCTGAATTTGCCTTTTTGCCAAAGGGTGTTGTTTATGGGATGTTACTATATTGGAATAGTTAAATAGTATTAGTTAATATGTCTGTTATTCTGACAAATTTTCCAGTAGAGTTGTTATTCTAGATTCATCTTTCTTGTCTGTATTTTAACTATAGTGTTTAAATAAACTGTGCTTTGCTTAACGTCAAGTAGATTGACAGTTCACATTGCATCTGGGGTACAGCACTTTACGTTTGCCTTAAAAATAAGTAGTAGTCAGGGTCTAGGCTACCTTCTTAAAATAATTTGAATGAGTCTGGCCTGGTCCATAACAAAGAGCTTTGGCTCAGAGGACACCAAACAATTCGGATCTTCAAGGAGAAATGTCAGTGAAGTCACCAGTGAATCTAATCACTGTTAGACTTTGAATATTAATATGCTCTGGTGAGCTCTATGGAAAACACCTTTGTTGTCAGAGTTAGTTAGCAAAAGTAGAGTCTAAATGGTTCAGGGTTGCACTAAGGATATCACCTAGCAAGGGGATGAAACGTCTGCTGTCAAACCTCCCAGCTCGGCGAACACACCAACATCTACAATCTGAAATGATGTTGGAATCAACCTCAATAGTAAGTTTCAGAAATGGATTAAATAAATATTGAAGATGAAAACTTGCAAGGCTACTGAGGAGGAGTAGGGGAACAGGATGAATTGAATAATTTGTAGAACTGTCAGAGAGACAATGGGCATCCTTCTTAAGCTGTACAATTGCATGAGACTAGAAGGTGAAGCTTCAGAGATGTTGAATCTGAGGAACAGAATCAACACAAATATCAGGGTAAGACAATCTGACAGACTGCTAGCAAGTAGCCATTTGGTGACTACTAGAATGAGCATAGTAACAGGTCAGAACGTAGCAAGGCTACATAGCGTTCCAAGGAAACAAGCATCAAGAGAGTACATTAGGACTGGAAATTGGAAAGGAAGTATTGGCACAAGGGGAAATCTGAGTACAACAAGACTGATAAAGAAATGAGAAGGTAAAATACCGTGCAGGCTCAAAATCTGAAACATGTAAAATACTGGAAACACAGTAAGTCATATGGCACCTGTGGAGATTAAGACAAAGTTAAATGTTTCATGTTGATGATCTTCCACTGACAGGACACTTAAAAAAATCTCTATTTCTCTCGGTACATGTTGGGTATTTCAGAAAGATGAAGTAAAAGCAGCTTTAGTCATCAGTATCAGGCAAAATCTGCACTGCACAACAGAATCAACTTTACATTAAAAAATAAACAGCGCAACTATATTCAGGATTCTGCTTACCTTGGACTTGGTGGCTTGCTGTGGATAAAGGAGGAGAGGGACATTGGCAATGAAAGGGGAGGTTAATTCAGACATGTCCACCTCTGGTATCTCATTGGACAGAATATCCTTCTTGGCAAGACTGGCTTGCAGGGATTGGCACAAGTGAAGAGCACTGCACACCACTTCAGGATTCTCCTATCAAAAGGAGGAGATAAATTGAGACACACAAAATTAGGCCATTTCCTAACTGTCAACAAAGCAATAGAAGCCCAAGTTTCTTCCCTTTCTTGCCTTCTCTCTGGATTCTGAAATTTAGTTCCGTTGATCATAAATGAGATTTGACATAGCAGAGCTGATGGCAGAAAGCAGAGTCAAACTGCTCCTAACTCGATTACACAGCACAGAAACAGGTCATGCAGCCCAAATGCTCTAATGTGCTTATGCTTCACATCAACCTCATCCCACTCTGTTTCAGCTAACCTGATCAGGATTTTATTCCCTTCCTTTCATATCTAGTTTCCCTTTCACAGCATCTACACTATTCATTTAAACTATGTGGGAGCAAATTGCACATTCTAACCACTCGTGTAAAGAAATTTCTCCTGCTTCTAACTGGGCAAGTTCGAGGCAAGAACAACTAGAAAAGACACTACAAAAGTTACTTAATCTTTCAAGAATTCATTACTTCATTGAGCACTGCCATAAAATAAGACAGTTGCAAAATCTAGGCTTACCAGCTCTCCTTTGAGAATATCCAAAATGACTGGCAAGTATTCATCTACCAATTCGTTGCATTGTGATGTCAAGGTTGGATTTGGAAGCAGGTCACAGGCTTTTTCCAAGTAACTTTCCAGTTCTTCCTGGAAGATAATCAAGCACACTAAATGAAAACATCAACAAATGTTTGCTAAACAAAGCAGAAGTATTAATAGGTAGGTGAAGACAATCATTATTGAAGCACTTTGAAAGAGATAACCATTGACAGTATGTGGTAAGCAGGGTTAGAAGTTGCAATATTTCACACTGTGAATTCATGCATTCTGCTTCACCAAATGGCTGTAACATCTTTAAAATGGAAGCAAAGAATGGTTCATAGCGGTGAAGGTCGGAAACTGAGAAGATATTTTTAAGTCATTTGCTCACCTGAGTAGCTTCAGCGATTCTTCACAAAAGCAAGTATAAGCTTTTTCAAAAAAGAATCATTCATAGGATAAGGCTATCAGTGGCTAGGCCAGCATTTATTGCCCATTCCTAACTGCTCAGAGGGAAGTTAAGAGTCAACCACCTTGCTGTGGATCTGGGGTCACGTGGCCAGCCCAGCTAAGGTTGGCAGTTGCCTTCCCTAATGGACATTGCTGAAGCAGATGTCATTTTTCCGTCAATCAATAATAGATTCATGGTCGTCATTCGACTCTTAATTCCAGACTTCTACTGAATTCAAATTCTGCCATCTGCCATGGTGGGATTTGAGCCCGGGTCCCCAAACCATGACCTGGGTCTCTGGATTAACAGTTCAATGACAATACATCTAGGCCATCACTTTCCCAAAGACTGACTGACAGACTGAGAGCAACTATGAGTCTGAACTTTATGGCCAGTGGCAGAATGAAGTAAATGTATTAACACGGGTTACACCCTCAACGAGGAAACACATACAGCCTTGGGATTGTTGCTCCCAAACAGAAATCAAACCAGAAACAAAGATTGTTTTGAACTGGATTCCAGTCAGGTGGACACTGAGGAAGAATTGATTCCTCCATCACAGATGACAAGATTGTAGCAGCAATAATCAGCTAATGAGCTCTAGAAATTGCCAGAAAACTGGTAACAGGTATGACTCAAAACATCACAAGTGAATGAAATGCTCAAAGTAGAAAAGCAGGAAGTAACACGTTATAGAGAATGTGGAATCAAGCAGATTGGCTGGAGTGTGCTACTTTATTAGCACTGATGTAACCTCTCAAAGATCAAAGACTAGCACAGCACAGGAATGGGCCCTTCAGCGAACCAACACATCATGCCTCCCTAAACTAAAATTCTGTTGCCTCAATGTGGTCCTATTGCTCTATTCCCTGCCCGTTCATGCATGCGTCAAGATGTCTCTTAACCATTGCTACTCTATCTGCTTCTATCACCTCCTTGAGCAGGGCATTCCAGGCATGTGCCACCCGCTCTGTAAAAAACTTGCCTTTGGTTAAACTTTAAACTTTCCCCCTTTTATCTTAAACCTATGTCCCCTAGTAATTGATATTTCTAACCTGGCAGAAAGACTCCAATTATCCAATCTATCCATACCTCTCATAATTTTGTAAACTTCTCTTGCTGTTAAGCAAGCCTTGCATGAAAAAGGCAGAAATGAAACCGGAAACGGGAGCATGAGCATGAAAAAGCAACTGGTTTTGGAAAGTAAATGGATCTGCAGTTTACTAAATCATGACATTATTGTATCTTCAGCAAAACATTTCTAATCAGAATGTTTCAGAAGCATTAATGGCATAACTGTGCTAGAAGTGAGCAAGAAAACAAAGCAAATTGTCTTAAAGCTTCCAGCTAATTTGCTCACACTTTTTGAAGTTAAAAAATCCTGCTAAAGGATACAAGTGTGACTGAAGAATATACCAAATTTGAATAGATTAATGTAAAAAATGATATCTATATAATGTTATCAGAGTATGCCTTTAGTATAAGCCTTTCATTGACAGCTAAGTTGAATGAAGTGATTGCAATGTATTTAAAAGTATGGGACAAAGATAGAAAAACATTTATTCTCCGCTTTATAAACATGGCATAGCCATTCTACAGTAATGCAAATACAGAAGTGTTATAGTGAATGAAGTCACAGAAATGGATAGGGATGGATCTAGGGCATCAGCGAACTTCTAACATAATGGACAGAGATTTGTTTATGACTAAATAAAAACCAAAAGAACTGTGGATACTGTAAATCAGGAACAAAAAC